ATCACTTTAAGTTTCCAGCAAATTTCTATAACCATATCGCTAACTGGCCAGCTATGCTACGTCTAATATTGGTTTTGCTTTTGTGCGAATCGTAATATAGAAAGAATAGGAACATGGAATAATAAAGTAGGGTGTGTTAGTCACAACACGTTTATTTTATGTTTTCTTTTTAATCTCTTTCATAGCTTTGAGTTCCGTCATATTAATTTATTCAAATATAGAAATAGTAATTTTCGTTTTTTTTTGTGAACATTCATGCAAACTTAATGTTTATTTCAAAATAATACATAAGAAATACAATATCTTTAAAATACGTGTAAAATTAACTTTACAGTAAGCCTCCCCGTGACCAGGGCTGCTGCAAAGCATCCGAAACGTCGGGCCGTAATTAAAATAATTTGGTAAATAAGTTGAACTAATATATTGCGCGTTTTAAACAGTAAAAGTGTTTTATTTAAAAGAGTACTACTCGTGTAAACAAGAGATATTTTTATAGTAAATACATATCTAATTGGGAAATATCGTACCATACACTCTTGTACCATACTCGTGGGTTAACACCAATATACCATATTTTATTGCACCATGATAGCTATGGGAAAGAAACCGCAGTTAGCTCCCGTGATCCTGAGATAAGATTTGCTAGCTGATTTCCCTTAACCGCAGTTGTAAATAAATTTATTTCTAATATTTCCGCGTTTGAAAGTTATATCAACGATATGGTCTGTGCCTTTTTTCTGTTCAAACCTTCAACGCGGTACTTTTCCGTTTCCTATACAAAGATTCATTGTATCTTAATGTCATGGATATTGCTATGATTGTGGTTTATAATGGTCGTATAATTTACTATATATTAATATATAGTCGTTATAAAGGAAATATTGTAATCAACGGCTGATCCTCAGAGCTGGTTCCAGGACTTAGGTGAAACACTAATTAAACACATGAATTTTATTTACAAGTCATTATGACTTCAATTCAAGTGTACGATGTGTGCACGTGCGTTTTCGTACGTTAATAAAATACCTACTTTTTACTTGTATCAATTGTTATGAAAATTCTTCAATTCGATTTCATCTTAAAGGTCGTTTAAATTATGACTCAAGACATATTAAACTAGATCATAGACTTTCACCTTTATTTGCGAATAGTAAGGATATTAAAAATATTGGTGTCATTCTTACCTCACGAAAAAATGCAATACTGCGTATTATTTTTGCAACATCTTAAGTATAGAATTTAATTTCAAGTAAGGCTACAAGTTAAGTTCTGATAAAAAAATCGCTGAAAAATAAATACTTCTAGCGCATAATATCACGAATGCTTTAGTTCAGAATAATTTTTAAATAAGTTTATCTAATATGTTTCGCGCTTTAGACAGTACCATTTTCCTTAAAACTCGTACTAAGCAGCGCGTTCTACTTTACCGCAATGTGATCTATTACAAAACACACTTGTCGAAATGAGTAACTGAAGCATTAGCGGTCAAGCCAGACAGTTCGTGACGGAGTTACGCGAAACGATCGAGTAACATCGAAAGTGAATCAATTTACTAACAGTATCGAACAGATGTTATCTACTTTGCTTTTGAACTTATAACACGATGTAATTTGAATTGGCTCTGTATTTTATTCTTGGGATTATGTCACTTTTTGAGTGACTTTTTTAATCTAAAATATATTGACTGATTAAATAAAAAAAGAAAAAAAAAAAACACAAATAATAATTTATAAATTATACTCCATAAAAAAACATATAAATTATAACCTATATGATAATAGTAAAAGAAACAAGAACAAACACTCATCTATCATAGATTTAAATTCTAAATTTAATATTTTAATATATTAATTTTTTAACTATAATATTTTATTTTATAATAAAATATTATAATAAATTTGAGAATGGATGTGTAATTTTTGTATGTACGACTGTAGTTGTATTTATTTAAATGTTTATATCTACCTACAAAAAGAACCAGAGATACATTTTAACTAAGTTCCACAGATAAAAAACTATCAGATAAGTGCTTATTAAAGATATTTTCGTTTCATACTTTGCATAAAACTGTCGTAAAAAAGCGATCTGCTAGTAGGTACCAAACGTTTTAGTGTTAGTCGGAGCTTTTCATGCTGGACAATGAAAAATGGCTCCAAGACTTTGCATTCAGATCAGCAAGTCTAATATGAATTCTAACCCCGTGGTGCTTGCGGCTTGCACCATGTTTTAAGCATAAGTGTGTGGTCTTATTCTGATAAACATACAAGCAATATAGTTGCATATAATTTATATATAGTAGTAATATAATTTGCAAAACTTTTAACCTTCTTATATTCTTTGTAACTTAAAATCATTTAAATTTGTTATTCATTTTGGTTTTTACTCAATTCGAGCCCCGTTTTAGTGATAGTGCTGTCCATTATTTAGCCCTACTACAATTAAAAACAGTAAATAAAACACCACAATATAATTTATTCATTATGCGTTTAAAACAGTTAAAACTTACACTTTTAATGTTTTTAATAATAATTAGTAATTGAATTATGGATGTTTTTTGATTCAGTTTTGTGCGTACCACATTTTCGCCTCCGAATAAGCCCGCGTGTTTTCGTAGTCAAGATTTGTTCAACACTATCTTGTTCTTGCAATCACTATCTAACATCTAAAGGAATAATGCTTTTAAATCCCTTTGTTGTCTTATCTTCGTTTACGCCGTATTTACTTTTATCGATGGTGTTAATGTGCGAACTTTCCGATTTCCTGCGAAGAAATTGTTTGTCTTTTACGTAATATTTATTATAATAATATGTTAAACTCTCACAGTCCATATATTTTTATAACGTGAAATCCCAATTCCCATTGCGGTATTATTCCCGGGTTTTGTATAGAGCTTCCTCTGCGCTTAAATCAATGAGCGAAATAGGTACTTCCAATTCCCTTTTTTTCGAATAATTAAAAAACAATAATTTTCTTTTTCAAATGCATAGGAACAACAATTTAGTTCAATATCAAATGGAATGAAAGTTAAAAAAAGAAAGTTAATCGTTCTAAAATTGGGTAAGTATAAGGTTCCTAATTTTAATGAATGCTCTGTCCAGCTACTTTAGTTTAATAGTTTACGATAAAATGCTGCGTAATAATAAGACTGGTAGAATTCTCTCGAAGACCCTTTCGAATATTTTCTGCCTACTCATCTCTCTTAATTTTACACAGCAAATATTTCCATAAATAGTATTTTTACAGTACGTATAAAATGTAAATTTTAACTTATTTTTAATTGAACGTAAGTAGGGCCCGACGTATCAAATAATTGCGCCGGTGATTACGGGTGAACAAAGATAGAGAGTGTCCCTAATGTCAATGTCAAAGCTGCTACACTAGCGCCATTTGTTTCGTTGATATTTGGCCAGCCAGTTTTAAAACGACTCTTTTTTTATATTTTAAAAATATGTTTATCATTAGAATTATTAATATTGTTTTAACTATCTACATATTTTCAGAACATAGGACCTAACCCTGTAACTTATAAAGAACAAATGACAACGTCCACAAAGTTCAAAATGAAAAACAAAATAAAAATAAAATATTTTAACCAGCTCAAACAATAATATATTTTAACTCTCCACTTACTCTTTTGTCATACTTGATTTTACTTATTACAGAAACCTATTTTATTGGCCGTATATATTGCATATAAATTCGTAGTATAATATTTGTCAAAGTAACTCACTAATAAAGTATAATATTATTTTTGGAGTAGTTTACATACTAGGTTATGCGAATGTTATATATTCAAATGATCGTCGAAACCTTCAACCTTTACCGTCGCAGCTAATAATCGAGTCGTGGCGAGTGATTGCCTTTAGATCCCGGCATCACGACATCATGTTCATGCATTGCGCAAGCGCTTAAATGTTACCAATTGCTAGATCCAGCCACGGTATTTCTTAATATGAAAATTACCTATGTTCTCTCCAAAGCAGAACATCTGCCATAGCTAACTAAAGCCAGAGCCTATTCGAATTACAAAAAAAATAAAAAGTGACATCTATTTGACAATTGACGTAAACAATTGACACAGATAAAAAAAAGTTGATTGTAAAATCTCATTTGAACAGGAAATATTAGTCTATAGATAGCGTCATCAGATCATCAATTTCGATGACCTTATTTTTTTAAGTAAGATTATGGGTGTGTGCTTATAATTTATTCTCTTGTACGAATAAAATAATTATGTGTCTGTTCTTATTAGAAAAACATTAATATATAAACGTTTGACATAGTATTTAAATAATTACGACATTACAATAATTTTATGAACGCTGTAGCGCCAGTTTCACAATAAACAGCTTGGTTTGAAACAAAACTTTAATTTAATGACGAACCCTTATCTCTATCGAACTGGTCTCAGTAGTTTAATATAATGTTTATTAGTACAATAACAACCACATTCCGAATGATTCAACAACGGGTATTAAATATCAATTAATTCTCATATGATAAACTAGCAAAAATTCATTCGTGACTTCCTTAAAATTTTATTGTCAAAAAAGTTTAGTCAAATATTTGCCTCGAGTTGTGTAATGATTGTGACGTTAAACATTTGACTGTTTTTTTTTTATAAATTGTAGTTTATACTATAAAGGAATAACTTAACTACAATAAATAGTAGAAGAAGGTTTTTTGTATGCCACGGAATTAAATAAAACAAAAGAAAAATGTAATAAAGAATCGTACGTGATCTTTCACTGCCTCTGTATCTAAATTTTAACGGTTAGTCTAGCATTGTGTTAGACGCCAGAAGTCCTGGATTCGAATCCCGAAGAAGCAAATAATCAGCCGGACAGGGCACGGAAGTCCAACCAACTACTTTACAAAACCGATCAGTGAAACGGACACATAAATGTGTTCGCTTCGTGTTCCGCGAGGGAAATCAAAATTCACTAATAGCAAAAAAATTTAGTCAGTTTTATTTACCCAATTATATTTTTTGTCAACAGTTCAAAGACCCTTGGACATTAAGAACCGACCTCGGATTCCGATTCCCGACGAAGACCCCTACAGTATCGCCAGTTCCAACGCAAACGGATCTGGCTCAAGCGGTAGTTCTGGTGGTTACGGTCACAATGGACACATAGCTCAAAATGGTCATATGCCTCAAAATGGTCACATGCCGCAAAACGGTCACAACGGCCACGGTGTCGTGGCTGCGACTAGGGAACAGCTCATGATGCAAATGGGGCAGAGGAGAGGGGATAAACCACCGAAATTGCCACCAAGGGAGAACGGATACGGCCCAGCTGACATTCCTAAAGTGAGTTAATTTAGTCCTATGTCTATTTCCTAAAGTAAGTTAGAACCTAGTTTTGCTATATCTACTAAATTATATAGTATAGGATTCTTTAAATATCCAACAAGTACAGATGCACTTCCCGTATACTACAACAATGGAGTGCTTATGTTCGTGTTAAATATTAGAAGTCTACGCGTGTACTTTAATAAAACACATTTAACGGTTTTAAACTCGAAATATATTAGTTAAATTCATTACCTACCTTATTATAGGGATTTGACATCAGGGAATCCCTCTATAGTTAGACCCGTCGTGTCCAGAGCTGCGGCAAAGCAGCGAAACGTCGGACACTAGTTAAATTAATCAATAAAAATAAGTTTACTAATATATTTCGTTGTTGACTGTTAAAAGTGTTAAGAGTTTTATTTAAATATGTTTATGTCTTAGCCGCAGAAACATTTGAGATTAAAATTCTAAAAGTCTTATATCTCTTAATTGATTAGAGCAACAGTACAAAATGCTGTGGAGGTCGGATCAAGCCCTGCCCGTGTCGTAATTTTTTTTTAATCTATAATCGATTCCTAAGTCCTATTTTAATATCAACGACAACACTCATACGACTTTTGTTTTGCTTTATGCGACGTATTCTGTGGAAATTGTATAGTTTATAATAACAAAAAAGACAGTTTTATCAACCACTTGCAGTTAAAGCCATTAGACATAAATTAATCTAAATGGACGTCCTTCATTTTTTAATATAAGTTACAAAAGCTATCTAAATTATGAGCTAACTGACTTAATATGATCCAATTTTATAAATAAAATGCGGTTTGCGCCTGCGCAATTTCGCAAGTGAAAATTACTTCGCTCTATGACTATTTGAAATAGTTATTGTTGTAATCTTATGCAATTTTTATGGATTACTCTCTCATAACCTAAGAGCAAGTAAGTAATACACTACTTTGGACTCTTTTTTAATTTTTTATTTGTATTGTATATTTCTTACATACAAACTCTACACAGGTTTAATAAACTTTTATGGTTTTAACATTTTATTGTACATGATGAAGATGAAAAAAATTACGACACGGGCACTTGAACTGGCATCCACATCGTTCCCTGCTGAAATAACAAATTGAGCTACCGTTTCCTTCACGTCGTCCAATTTTAACCTTTCGATATTTGCATCTCATTTTAAATTAAATTTATATAGTGCTGTCTATAGTTTACACGAATAGTACACATTTAAATAAAACACTTTAACGGTTTAAAACGCGATATATTAGTTAAACTTGTCTCCCCGTGACCACGGTTGCTGCAAAGCATCCGAAACCTCGGGCCGAAGTTAAAAATCATTTTCAAATAAGTTTAACTAATATATCGCGTTTTAAACCGTTAAAGTGTGTTATTTAAATTATATAGTGCTTTCAAGTGGAAAATATTAAAGTCTTCAAACCTGGTATGTTAGTCTTATGGTCCTTCAATTTAAAACAATTATAAAACAAGATATCGCTATCGATTCAGCACGCATGACTTGAACCTAATGGTTACTTAACATAATCTCATTTCTAAATATCGTCTTTAATAAATCCCACGAAATTCAATTTGCCTCCGACATTAAGTTATCACATCTGTCATTCGAGGACTTAGTTTCAAATCATTAGTTAAATTCAGATCGTGGCCCTCCGAAATGGGATCCAAGTCCCTAATCCCGTTTGCACAAAAAAACCTAAATGCATTAAAATGTGATAAGCGCGAATTTATAGTCTGCGATTTTATTTATTTATTATATAAAAACAAGGCTCACCAACTACATACATAATTAAACTTACAAAATCTATTTCTAAATAGTTATACTACTTATGTATCTACTTGGTGTGCACAATTTTAACTAAATATATTAAACAAGTTAAAAAAAGAGTTTTTTAAAAAATTAAACTACAGATTATAAATTAAATAGAATAAACAACTAATTGACCCGTGAATAATGATGTTAGATGTTCTGTGTTGCAGTGAACATTAATTTCATGACTAATGCAATTTCGACTGTTAATAATAATTAATTTTAATCTGTGCACAAAGTTTATTTTATATATTACCAATTTTAGTCTATACTCGAAGTAGATTTAGAAAATATAATAATGATAAAAGATACTTCTATTTAGTAAATAAAATACAATATGTTACGGAAATCCGAAAACAAAACAATATCGAACTTTTCTGAGCCACCAAGTAATAAATTTGAAAGTCCTCTACTACCTAAACTAACCATATATTTAAATAAAACACTTTTAAGGGTTTAAAAGCGAGATATATAATTAACTTAAATTTTAATTAACTACTGCCAAACTTTACGAATACGTTAACTAATATATTTCGCGTTTTTAACCGTTAAAGGTGTTTTATTTAAATATGTCCTACTCACGTAAATTACAGACAATGCCTTATTGATATAAGATTTTATAACTTTATCAACCGATCGTCTTTGATTACACTGAAATCGATATTGTGTAGTCATTTTGCTAAACTCGTTTAGGAAATAAAGTCTTATATTCAAAGGAAAATTAATTTCTTTAAATTGTTTGACATAAATTTTGTTATATTTCCTAATTTAATATTTCGTAGTTATTCCAACGCCTCCTTGTAACACCGCTTCCTTGTGAAACACTGTCTAATATACATACTAATTACATTTTCTGTTCATAAATTAACATCAACATTAGATAAGAAATTACCATTGATGATATCTTGATTACTTAAAACTACTTTTTTATTGCCCTAGAGAGGGAACCGTTGGTTATTTATGTATGCTTAACAATTATTATAATAAAATTCTATGAAATATGTTTGTAATTATTATTATACAATATAGAATACCTACTTACTAGGTAAAGAAATTTTTTATATTTCACTAAAGATGATGTAAATAAAATTATTTAGCTAAACTTAAATACGAACTCATCTCAACTGAAAAACTAATCTTATTTATGTATGACGAGCTTGGTGGATAGTAATGTCTGAATTATAACGGGTCGTGGGTTCAATTTGGGTCCAACATCTTTCTAATCAATTTATAATTTTTCTGAAACATGTTGAACTTCGTCTGGATATCTATATTAAATCGGTGGTAGGAATATCGAAAATTATAGTAGTTCGTATGAAATCAATGTTAACTAGATCCCTTTCTCCATGATTTTATTCGTCTTTATATCGATATAGTTCTGTAGTAGGAGTAAATAACTGCAATTTATTTGAATGAATAATATACGCAATACAAAATGAAACTTATCACAATACAGAAGTGAAAGTTTCACATCGATCGATATTTGTAGTTGCATTCAATCTCTCCGATTAGACTCAACTCACGCAAAAGTATACGCTTATACAACTTAATAAGATCTATTATTATATGCAGCCGTGTTGAATATGAAACAGCGGGAAGAACTACTCGAATTTACAGCCCGTAGTTACAGCAGTGAACAATGGTTGAGCAGATATCCCTGACGTATCTTAGATATCACCGCGGCTAAAGATAAATGACAGCCCGAGTAACCTTCGATCTCGTTTTATTGGTTTATCGAAATGCCCAGGAGGGTATTCTTGAAGTCTATAATATTAATAAGTGTGAACTACCTACATTTATTGCTTAATATTACTATTTACGACATACTTAACGGTTTGTAACGCAAAATATATTAATTTAAAATTAATTTTTAAACAAGTTATTTTAACATTTCGCGTTTTAAACTGTTAAATGTGTACTACTCGCGTAAGTTACAGACAGTACTCTATTTTTTATGGAAAGTGAAAAACCCCAATCTCAACAAGATGCGCTGACGATCTATTTGGGCTTTGGATATTCGGAAATCTACAGACTGAAATTTTATGATATTCCAAACACCCATTTAATAAGTCCAGCATCTTTAAAAAAATATATTAATCGATAAGAAATAGAAACTCTATGAAGACTAGATTTCTAAAAAAAAAGATGTGGTTTCCAAAGCTGCTGATAAAATTTATTTTGCACTTAAAAAGTGACACTAAGTGACTACGTTATATATATATTACGACGTATTAATGTAACGATAAATCTATAGGGGTTCAACTAGAATTAAAAATGTATATTAGGTTCAAGAATACGGCCGCAGATCTGACATTACAAAGATGAAGAATGTCCTTTGTGCCTTATATTCCATTTTTAACTTGATTTAAAGCTTCGCACTATCTGCACTGACCCGACTTGTCAACTCAACAGCACATAATTCAAGAGAAGTAATGTTTTCTGGACATTCTAGAGCGTTTATCGTCCACCGCAGCCATTTTCACAGTTTTTATTCTCGAAATAAAGTGGAGCTCTCTTGAGTTATTGTAACACGAGCTCGCTATGGGGTGGTACGAATAATTTCTTTTACTTGATAAAGCCACACGTCGTGTGACTGTATCAACGCGCTCTGTGTATCTTAACTCTTCGTGTAACAAGATAAGACTAGTAAAATGCCCACGCGCACTGTTTTTTGCTCGCGAATCTAGTTTTTAATACCGCACCGATAAAATAATCGTGTTGACGTGTTTACACTGAGCAAGAGGTCTTATTTAACGTATTGTGGGCCTCGCTCGGGGCGTTTCGATGTGTTGGGTCAGTAAGAAAAGAATGGTATAACGTTTCGTGTAATGTAAATAAAGTCGGAATAACAATGCTATCTTATTGTTATTGCTCGCTTACATCGGTATTATGTGTCGATTTATTGTTTTATAGACATTTTAACACAGAAATTGCGTACTATTGTTGATGACAGCGGCAGTTATTTATTACCTTTAAAAATTATATAATTTAAAAATCGAAAATAAATTGAAAAAATTTTTCGACTCGGGCAGGACTTGAACCGGCATCGTCAGCGTTCCGTGCTGTTGCTCTACCAACTGAGCTACCGAGTCCTACACCTCATCGTCGAATTTTTTCAACTTATTGATACATGCACCTCATATATCATGCATACTTACATAAGCACACTCTTTAGATTATAATACCTTTTTTTTATTTACAGCCTGATTACGACGACATCGATGACCGCGTCCCCACACAGTTCCCAAGAGGTAAATCTGACAAAGGAAAGGATAACAAGAAATATGGTAAGTGTACTATTGAAACTATGAATAAAACACAGTTTATTTATAAATTTCACAATAGAAAACTTAAGTATCCTTAAAGCTGGAAAGTTTTTTTGAAACTTCTTGAAACGCATGAAGGAGGTTATATTATTGTATACTACTACGAGGAGGAGGCGTATTATAGTATACATACTTATATTGTATACCTTGAATTGGAAGACCTTTTTCACATTTCTCACGTGCCTTACTTACAAGTGATACGTCTTGACAGGCACATTGGTCTAATAATATCACTTTCAATGAACAGGTCGTGAGTTTGATATCCACCGGGTCCAATATGTTTTAAATTTTTCTGAAACGTGTTGGACTTCGTCCTGAAATCGGGTTATCAAATGAATGGTAGGAATGTAAAAATTCCATCCGGGTTACGAACCACCGTACACAGATAAAAGGCCTAATCGCGTTTTGGTGTTTAGTCTGTGGATTTCAGACTATCCAAATGCAAAATTGATCGCCAGTGCATCTTCTTTAGATCTTATATAGCTGGGGTATTTTGTCTACCAATGAACTACATTCTTATCTGTCCTGCTCTTTAAAAAAAATGTGTTTTACCTTATCTTATAAGATCAATACATTCTAATACACAATTTTGTCTGAGGATTGAAAAATTAACAATCTTTAATTGCAATTATCTCGCATATATCAACCCTGCTTGAAAAGCTTTTAATTATTAAAGAAACTGTGATACCTATTTTTATCAATGATTCATGTTAATGACTCGAATATATCTTTTTTAAGGCTTACTTCTAATTAAAATACCCAACTTTGCCATTAAATTAGGAATGCAAAACGCAAGCGGTTAGGCTTAATTAACAGAAATGTAGGATCACAATGTTTCAAACAATTGTCGCATTAATTACTCGATAGTAATAAATAGTGGAAACGAGGGGTGTAGTAGATTTTTTTTCGATGCATCTTTTATATGCCTTAATTCCATAAAAGGGTTGAACATTGACTTCGGCTTTGTATATTTTAATTACTACGTTTGGTGTAGAGCAGACACGTATTTGTTCTTTTTAATTATTTTTCAACTGTATTGACAAAGTATGTATGTCGACTTTAATATACATACTTTGTCTACTATTTAGCAATGTATATAAGGTAACAGATTTAATAAAATCTTTTATAACAAATCTCTACAATTTAAGTTTGTTTTATTGAAAATATAAATAATTAAAATGTTTATTTACCAAGACCGTTTTACCTAAGTCTACGTACAAATATTTTAAAATTATAATATGTTTAAGATGCAAAATATATTATTTTAATTAATTTATTTTTAATATATTTTAACGATAGACGGAGGAGGAGGAGCTAGCTATTGAAAAGCATACGAAACACATTTTGGTTGTAATTAAAAATAAATAATAACAAGGTAACTAATATGTTTCGTGTTTTAAACCTTTAAAGATATTATAGTGTAACAAATATAATGCCACCGAAAATGCACTGAACTTCTTTACATTTTCTCGTAAAAAATACTTGCTGTAAATCAAAATTGTAACGACAAGAAATCCTACATACTTGATATAGGCATATTTTTAAACTTTTTTGCTGACTCTACACAGGATAACAGTTGCGACAGCTGTCGTGATTGCAGCCGCGCACGCTTTTTAACAATATAGATTTATGTGCGACGTTGATTGTACAGTTTATCATATGCGCATGATTTACATTCCTACTGCCCATAAGATTAATACTATGCAATTTATTTATCACTATATAAAGAACCTAGAGACCTTTTGTTTGTCGTTACATCTCAATGGTTAAATGCGGTCTTGGTTTCGAATTCCTGGGAATAATAAACAACTTTGTATCAAGGCCGTATCTGACCCAAACCTTCAGTAAATTTAAAAAAAATAGTCGCAAGTAAAACAAATAAGTAATGACGGAACCTAAATCCATTCGTCTTTAACCATTGGAAAGACCCATGACCTAGCAATGTCAAAAACCGTTGTTTAGTCTTATCACGTAAAAGCAATTTATATAAACGCTTTTTCATGTTAATTAGATGATTCAATATTTAAAGGTAAATAAAATAACAAAAAAAAATAACTGAATTTAAGACGACTTTATGTAAAAGTTAGGGAACTTTCAAGACTTAAGAAAGAATATTCCTTGTGAATAACTAGTGAATAGCGAATCATTAAGTTTTAACACAACAAAGTTTTTATTACACATTTACCCGCCTCTGTAGCTAAATGGTTAAACATGTTGCCTAGCATTACGTTAAGCGCGAAGAGTCCTTGGTTCATATCCCGGGGAAACAATAGATTGTTTCGGTCGGGCAGAGCACAGAACTGTGCTGGTAACTTACTTGTAAATAAAACTAATAAGTGAAATAGACAGAGAAATGTGTTCGCCCCATATTATATACACAAATGGAAGCACGTTTAACACAATTCGTTTTTCCGTCATATTTTCAAATGATACATAGTTATCATTAGGATATTCTTAGTATATTAACTTGTGTATTATTTTAATAAGGCATGTCTTGAATAGATTGTAATAGCAAAGAGTATTGTACACGTGTACTGTAATACTGAATTAAAAAAAATAATTATAAAGCAATTGACCGTATAAAACGTTGATCTAAGAAGTGAACCAGCGTCGTTCGCACAATTATTACAGTTGAGTTATTAAATCGGTCTCACCCTTTCAAATTACTCGGAGCAGAGGTTAGTAGACAATACGGTTTCACAAGGCTCAGCTGACATTTGGCCAAATCCTTGATATTTGATTTCGTGCTGTAGGATGGTAAGCAGGGAATGCTTCTATTGTATGAGAATGATATCATGCTCTATATATTAAACTAAAAACATATGAACGAGGTTTAAAGTAAACTTAAGAAACAAACTGGACACACAGATTAAAAATGTATTAGTTAACTTATTTAATATAAATTCTATCTAAATAAGTTATATATAGTATATTTCGCGTTTTAAAGCGTTAAAAGTGTTTTAATTAAATGACGTTGGAAAGAATACTAAAATGTTAAAACGTTTAACCAATTATTTATTATACAAGGTTATTTCTCTACTCGTTTAAAAAAGGACGAAGTCAAAAACTAAAAACAATGTAAAAAGCTATAAGTAATAAATAAATCCCAAACGAGTTCATTTTGCATGCGATATAAAAAAATTCAAACTTCTTCATAAGCATATAATATTCTAGTCTTTATTTCTAATGGCTAGCTGTTTGCTAATGGTAATTATTACTAATTCCAGATGACCCCTACTACTGCGGTCTGCGCGCGCGCGTCCCCAACTTCGTGAAGGCGAACGGCAAACACGTGCTCCCGGCGATGACGGAGCGGCTCACCCTAAAGGAGACCCCGGTGCCCAGCAAGCGCTACAGCGTCGCCCACGCCCATCCGGGCCCCTTCCCGGCTCACATACCCTTCGCCCCAATGCCACAAGCGGCCCTATGGCACGCACGTTCCTACGACAACGGAATCGGTGCGTACGAACGTCCGAAAAAGGAGAAACTCATGTACCAATTCTATCCCGACAGGGAACGAAGGCTCCGACCGCTGGTGATTCAGCAGCCCCGCTAACTAACACACTTTTAGGGATCTCCGCTACAATCTTGGTATTTATCCTTTTCTGTTATACGCTTCGCTTGGTAGCACGCCTACGCTTACTTACTCCACTTTCTGTCTTCTATCGCGATCGGCTCCTTTGATTTCCATCCGTTTACTCACGACTTTGGTTCAATCTCATTGCTTCGTTTTTTCGCAACTTTCAGCGCTATCTCGATTTCTCTTCTCGTCAGTGTCATTTGTTCCAGTTTTTTTTACCATTTCAGCTGAACGCAGTGAAGTGCCGACCATGAGCTGCTAGTTGCGACGCTTTGCTTAACGGAATGTTAAATTTAGATCAATATTGATCGCCATTTTGATCAGTATTGGGTATTGGATGTTCAAAAATCGTTCAGCATGTTCGTCTTTCACTTTGTTTTTACAATACGATAACGTAATTATTATGACCGAAATTTGATGATCGTAGTAGTAGGTATAATCACAACGTGTTAAAGTTTTCAATTTCAGAATAATGTTACCTACATCATCTTAAAGTAAATTTTTAAGATGATGTAAGTATGTTCTTTTAAAATAGTGCGTTTTTAGCGAATTGAATCAACATTAAGATAAATAAACTTACCAATTTCAGAACTTTACATCGACTCTGTAGGTCCGTGTATAGAATTACTTTCTCTAAGTACAAGTGCATGATATCAAAGATACAGAAACACTATATTCAAATAAAGCTCGTTTAAGTATTGACAGATACATGAGCACGCGCCTGTAATGTTGATACAAGAGAACAAGATTTTGCGTTTTCCTTCATTTTATTCGTTTCGAAACTATGCGATGGAATTAGATATGTAAAAGTTAGTACAATGTTCGTACATCTCACATAACTAAAATAATGCACAATAACTTTATACAAATAATTCGTAAAAACTAAAATATTTTTGGTACTAATTTAATTACACTAATAAAACCAACGTTTGCTTAGTAGACTTTAACATTAAAAGTTGGACCACAATTAGAAACTCCTATCACATACATTTGACTGCAAACTAATTTATTAGTATGGTTTTTTTATGTTTTAAAATATATTTTTTGTGATTTACAGACGGAGACCATTATGACCCATACGCGTTGTACGGTCGTCTGCCGATGCCAGGCAGGGGATTCCCACCACCACCAGCGCCAAACGCCCGCCATATGTTCATCGAAGATTGGGACTAAAAACCTCAAGATGTAGAAAATACAGACCCTACGCTCTATAAAGCCAGGCCCCTTCTAGACACACGAAACGAAAAATTTGATATCGGCCTGATATCAATTATTTTTAAAGACTATATCTTGTATTCACTGCAAGACCGAATTTGTAAATATTTACAATTTGTAAATTATGCTTAGTTTTACAAATTACAAATACTTTCGTTTTTAATGTAAATTCCAATTCAACCTTTGTACTCTAGATTAGTGAGTGTATTGTTTATTTTAATATAAACGATATTTTTTTATTTAAGAATAAACATTAATTTACGCAAAGTATAATCACTGCCACTTATTTAATCATATTTGTGTTCATTTGATTGCAAGGCGCGAGCAAGTTGAACGTTGCTTTTGTAATTTTAATTTGAGTTACAAATGTCATACGTTTCGTTTTCATCGACAATGATCATTTACTTAACTTTTTTGTGAGGGAGCCCTTGTTATGAATCCTTTACTTCATCAGGAGTTACTTTTGAAGACCTACGTTCAAGGTCATTTAAACCAAAAGTTTCCTAAGTGCTACTTAGGAGTTCGATAAAACTAAGAATTGTTGGTGAAAACGAGCATTAACGTGTCAATCCTAGTCAATAAAGGGTTGGTATTTGTTGTTTTTATAAGGTGACTAAATTATATCGTTTCTTTTGTTACATTAAAATTAAGATTTTTCTTTAGTATTCCTTCCTTTCACTCTGCATCTTTTGTATATAGTCTTCAGCTTGTTTTAGAATTTAACTTTGCATATACCTTCTACCATTCTTTAATTTTTTTAACTTAAACAGTAAGTAGTTTTATAAATACTCAATTATTCAATAAATACATGTATTGTAAAGTAGTTTAATGATATCTTAGTTTTAGTAACGTATTTAAATTCTATCTCCGTTTTGAAATTTCACTTTTCTAAACATGCAGATGTTATTTGACTTTTTATTGGAGATATATCTTTATACGTATATATATGACAATTAATAATCTACATCGGACATTTTAAATTTGGAGGTGCTAGACAGGTTACCATATTTGTTTTATATAATTTTTGTATTTTGATACGAAAGATCTGTTTCAGAATTAAATTTTTTGTAGTAAAATGTATTTTCTACACGCCATCACAATTATTTTTATCTAGTTCAATGTTATACACCAATAACGTCATTATAAATCGTGTTGGAAAAACTTTTATTTAGTCTAATCAACATCCCCTCTGTAACTCTGGGTGTTGGTAATCAAGTAACCTATTGTAAGAGAAACGTGTATGAATTTAATATACAATTATTTTTAATATTTTGTCTTTTCTTTTACACAAAAATCAATTATACCACCTTTCAAAATTTTGATTTAATCAAAACTAGATTTTTCAACACCAATCCAATTCTTAATCAGGTATTTTATTTCTCTGCTAGCTTGTTTTATTTCCTCAGTGGCATCAGCGCGTTGTGGAAATAAATCTGCGCAATGCGAAGCTCTGTTAATCACTACAGCCGGCGCTTGATACGTTAGGTCTTCAAGAACACCTATTGTACTCCACGGATCTGCGTCTCCGTTGGAAAACACGACTCTAGAGACATTCGGCTTTAATCCTCCGTAGAACGCATTGCTTGCTGCAACTGCTTTGTCAACTTTGTCTTCATTAAAATTTGGTCCGTATAATGCTACACATGTCTTAATAAAGTATTCCAAAGGAAGGGTGTCCCCAAATGGCTGAGAGGTAGACGACGTTGTCTGAAAATAACCAAATTCAGTACAAGTTTGATACAACCATGAATAGGCCCATGGGGTCCTTTTCGTTTCTTCAATCATTGAATTGAAATTAACATCTAGGCAATTGGAATCAGTTTCGTTTGAATCATTCTCAACGTCAATTAACTCCAAATTTGAACAGTGCTTTTTAATTACTCTTGGTCCACCGTACTGTGAGTTGACCATGAATTTCTCTGTCATATATGTATAAAACACCCATTGGTTTTCTAGAACATTTAAGTCGCATTCAGGACAAATATTATATTTACTCTGAAGTTCTTTTCTACCTTCGGAAGTCTCAAGCATTTTTCCGGATTGGGCAAAAATATCTCTCACATCATCCAAACAATTTGTTGTACCATATAGTTCGTAGTTTTCGTTTACTTTTTCTAAATATTCAAAGAAGTCTTTCTTAGCAAGAACAGGGCTACTGCTGGCAATTGCAGCATCTACTAGTTCGAAATACATAAGTCGCATCCAAGCTGCTAGATTACCCGAATAAGAACCACCGATGACGACTATTTTACATGTTTTGAAAATTGGTGATGACTTTATATTTTTAATTAATGTTGCAATATCTGCTAAGGCTTGTCTTGATGATAACCATTGCATATGATCAATGTTTACAAAGACGTCTTCAAATGGCAAACTCTTTCCATAGTATCGATGTTCAGTCATGAACATTGCTCCACTCGTTTCTTTCGCTAGCTCGTAAACAATACCTGTAGATAGAAATCGCGGATTTGCTTCAGCTTCTCCACCCAAATAAATAAAAACTGGACCATTAGGGCGAAAATATTGCAAATTTTCATAATACCTCATTTTCCAGGTATCTGACGTGTTATCAAAATGGTCTACTGGTTGTTGAATCCATCTTGTTTTAGTAGCACTAAGGTCTATATTCACAAGCGATTGTAGAACTCTCTCGGTTAAATATTTAAAACCACTATTATATAATATGCTAAAGGAACTCACAGAATTTAAATTATATAATATTGTTAAAAGGGCTATAAGGTTCATTATTTGCGTGTCTCTTTTAAAAAGGTGTTGGTAAATAAACCGGCAAATAAGGGCCCTATCATTTATAATGTTTCAGTGACATAGGTTTTGAGAGCAAAAATGTTGTTCAATAGACGCTATCAGAATTAACCTACATTCAGTAAATTATGGTTACGCGTATTTCCATCTAGATATACAATAGACACATCAGTTAGATTTTTACCATGCTAGCTGTGCCCGCGACTACGTCCGCGTGATATAGTTATTGTTATTTTAATCGTTTGTATATACATATTTTTAGTTTGCTAAAATCATTTTCGCAGCGCACGCAACAGAAGCCCTCGAAGAGTAATACATTTTCTCGTTTTCTTTCATATTTTCTTTGCAGCATGATATTATATACCCTAATTCCATCATTGATAAATAATCCTACCCACACAATAGGAATTTTTCAACTCAAACCAGTAGTTCCTGCGATTAGCGCGACAAACAAACAAATTCTTTAGCTTTATAATATTAGTATAGGGATAGATATAAAGTATGATTATGTTTTATATATGTTTTTTTTCGTTACCAGGATATAAATAGGAATTACGATTATATTCAATAATAATAAATTGTTGTCATTAATTAGCGTGAATAAATTTCTCATGACAAAACCAATATTGAAATTTTTCAATTTGAAATTGAAATTTCATAACTATGTGAAATTTAAAATTTTGTATAATATTAATTGATGTGCAAAACTATCAAAAAATATTTACGCCGCGAAGGGATAATAAAACACTTAATTTGATGCCATCATGATAATGATCAAAATGTTGTAATCGTTAATATGCTTAAGAAATCTTTAGTCAATATTTTTTAATCAGAAGAACCTATCCATGACTTAATAGTTTGTCTAATCTTTTTTCTAGCGTTTCTCAGTTCTTCGGAGTCTTTCCAAGAGTCTTGTTGCGCATCGGCAATTTTATATTGATCAGGAATTACAATTGCAGGTGATTCTGCAGATAGATCTTCCAAAATACTTAACGTGCTTGCACCATCCAATTCCCCGTTCACAAAGATTACTTTAGTCACATTTGGTTGATTCCCACCGTAAAGCTTGTTTGTCAATTCAATGTTCTTATCAAGTTTTGCTTCATCGAATTCTGTGTCATATAAATCCTTACACATTTTTGTAAAGAAATGTAAAGGAGCAGAATTCCCAAATACTTGATTTTTTGATGATGTTGTCTTAAAATGCCCAAATTCAAAGCAATCCTGATAGTGAAAGTTTAAATACAATGCTTTGGCACTATCTATATATTTTTCATAAGAGACATCGTTGCAAATTTCTATCTCGGATTTGAAGTCCTGGTCATGATTTGAATTCTCCTTGCAGTATAATTCTCCATTGTAAGATACCATTTTTATCAAATCCATCATAAAATATTGATTTTCTGGTATACTTAAGTCCGATTCCGGGCACACGTTAAATTCTGTCTTTATTTTTTCTCTACCCTCTACAGTTTTTAGCATTTTCTCGTAAGTAGAAAATGCAGTCTTGGCTTTGTCGTAACAACCTGTTCCGAATCTTTTTAAAAGATTGCTTTCATATTCCAGGACTTCCTTGGCATCTTTCTTTGCCAAAAGAGTAGCGCTACTAGCAACAACCGCATCGACTAAATCAGGTTTTAAAAGTCTCATCCACGTTGCAAATTTCCCACCACGTGTCAATCCATAAAGTACTACTTTCGATTGTGAGTAATCCTGGTCTTTTTTTATGTTCCTAATTAGAGTTTCATAATCTGCCATTATCTGCTTTGTGTTTAACCATTGCAAATTTTTTGGGTCCAAACGTTCAAAAGGTCTACTATTGGCTCCGTACCTTCGTTCAGTCAAAAACACTGCTCCATTTGTTTCTCTTGCTAGTCGGTTTACTTGAGACGAATAATATTCACCAATACCTATGTAATCTACGTCCATTACCAAATATATAGGCCCACCTGGTTTGAAATTATTGATGTTCAGCGCGTACGTTAAATTGAAAGTTCTGTCGTCTTTTTCATTGAAATGGTCTAAAGGTAGTTGGATGACGCGTTGTCCAAAGCATTCTGTATTTGTAAAATAAACAGGGATGTCTTTAGGAAATTTGGTTCCAGAATAAATGTCTTTCTCAAATGAGAAAGGATATGCTGATGTTACAACACACAGCAACGATGCAAGGATAATTACTTTCATATTGAAAGCTAGAACCGTCGTACGAACGAATCGAATAATACTCTAATTGCAGCCTCAAGTCAACACCTTTATATAGTAAATTGCACAGAAATGTCAATATCAGCTACATATTTCAAATCAAATAAACTTGAATTGCGATATTTTAAACATTTTGTTATCACTGGTGGAACCGGTAATGCTCAAGATTTCTTTTTTTATACATTTTATTTGATTATTAAATACCTAGGACTAAAAAATATATTATTAAAAAAACATAGTTTTTACCAAGACCATAGCGCTAGTAGCTGAAAGAATAAGACCAAGCCACATGAATGTAACAAAGCCGTTAAAAATTAAATAAAAACTAATATGTTTGTTGTGTTTCATAAGTTTCAATTTAAATGTTGTTTGCTAATAATACTTCTATTTATAAAATACCTATTTCATCAAACAGGACAAGAGGAACCAATTCCAATTCGGTGTTATGTTCGCGCCTTATCGTTCCGAAGCAAGATATTGAAAATTGTACCGTTGAAATGGAAGTGAACATTACGATCATCTCATTCTTTATACTCTATGGTTCAATAATTCGCATGGTTCCAGTTGTCATAGCAACCAACGAACAACAAAGTAGGCTCGTAAGCGACGCCGCTTTTTTATATTAAAATACACACGTAATTAGCTGGCGTGAAAGTTATGGATTTTTCTGATGGCAGTGAAAACAGCGGAGTTCGCAGGCCGGACGCACCACGCCCGGTGTCTCGGCGAGGATTTCGGGAGTATACTAATAGCGGTTCGATTTTGTCAAGGTAATTGGTTGCATAATAAAATAATCGGCAATAATTGTTGCACTTTGTTCATAATTTATTTAAAAAACTACCGCACGGTACAACCAAACTAGGTTTTGCACAATTTATTATGCTCGCAAAAATTCCCAAATTTGTACCTTGTCCTTAGAAAGTCGGGAATTTAAAGGCACACAATGTTCTGTGTTGTGCTACAATGTTTTTTTAACAGAGACTAAATATAATTCTATATTGGAATAGCGATTTCTTACATTTGCGTTTCAAACAATTTCTTACAAAACCAACAAACAAAACTTTGTTTTGTGTTAATATTTAAAAATGTTATATTTACATTCCACATCAACAACATAAGTACATGTAATAAAAATGCAAAATTTTACTGTTATCTATAAATTGATTAAAAAGTTTTTATCATAACAAAAATGTGAAATTTCAATTCCACTACATCACAAGCAGCTTAGGAATTCTTTATATGGCTCTTATTGTATGTGTCAGTATTGAATTATATTTTTTATGACATAGCTAAGAATTTTGGTAAAAAAAAAACATTTTAATGAGAAGCGCTGTCTTGGACCTTAGCTTAGAAATCTGCAGAGTTCAATTGAAAAACAGCGTGACTCGGACGGAATTTCGATATACCACACACAACACAGACCCATATTTTCAAGACGGGTCTGTGTTTGAAAAACTATAAAATGATATTAAACCTTGTTAAAATCGACACGAAAACTACATCATATTTTCCTACCTAACATTTTTATTTTATGATAGATTTCAAATTAATGTTGTGGCCGTTAGGAAACAAAAGTGCTTTTTTTTATAGCTAAAGACTTTCATAATAAATACACAATTAAGACTGGTAAACTCTATTTTGATAGGTACATTTGAACTATAGTTACAACAACTACAAACTATCACCCACAGCAAATACATGAAAGTTTATAATTTTATCTGTAATATTACTAATAAAATTTTAGTAGGAGTGGGACAATGCGGCCGACATCTGCGTATAGGGGCAGTACTGCTCGTTTGTCGACTGCTGGATTTGGCGCTGCACCGCAGACGAGCTCTCGTCAGCAGACCGCTATGACTGGGTTTTCAATGGTATAATATAAAACATTTAGTATTTATTCATTCTTAAGGGATATTGAAATGTAACAATGAGTCGGTATTAATATATATCTGATCCCACGACTCTTCCGTCAGACAGCTGATGATTACAACCAGAATTTTCCATGTTCCCTTTTAAGAAAATCGAAATTACACAAATATATTTATAGTATTAAATATTATTTATTGCTTGTCATATTTTGTCTGAAATTACAGATTGATAGGCCGATAACTCAGCAAGGAATATCAGGCTTACGTACGGGCACCGCTAGGGGCTTCCGTACGAGACAATTACAAGACAAGAGATACTGGGAGGAACTTATGCAAGTGAAAGTACGAGAGATGAAAGCAGAGATAGCAAGGCTTTCAGAGCAGGCTGACGCGGGAGAAAGAGAGAAATCGGCGAAAAAGCATTACGAGAAGAGAGTTAAGGAACTTGCACAGGAACTGACCGGTAAGATGAAATAGTGTTATGGGAACGATTTAAAAAAAATTGTTGGCGTATTAACCTTTTGGTGATCTGTGACGATTTTTTGTTAAAACATGTTAAAAAAGTAGTTATAAATTGCCCTTTAAAATCCTCGGAAACTAGGCTAAATTGAATCGGCGAAGAAATAAGAAATACATTTAGGTAAGAATGATTGTATTAAAATGTGAAGGGTTTAGATTTACAGGGAAGATTAGCCGACTACAATACAGCAATTAGAATTGCGAATGGCGAAGCAACAAAGCAATCCGTCGAAGAGCAGACCAGAGAAATGGAGAAGAATAATAAAAAAATGCAAGAAGAGGTCGAATTGATTTTTATTGAGAAACAAAGGAAAGAAAATCAATTGAGACAGCTAAGAGAACAGATGGATAAGGTAAACTTTAATTTCTGCAACTAACAAATACTAAAATCCAATTTGTTTAAAATATATATTTTTTATGTAATAATTATTTAAAAAACTTTTACGATAATAATATAAGATATCGTTAAAGCCTTTTTGATGTTAATAGGAGCAATTTACCTTATCAAATATTTTGTCAGAAATGACACAAGAGCAGAAAGATCAATATAATGAGTTAGAAGTCAGTGCTGCTGCTTTGAGGGAAGAAGTGGAACAAGCTAGAAGTCATATAGACAATTTGAATAGGGAAAAAGAAGAGTTCAATAAAGAAATTTCATCTTCACAGGTTCGCTTTAAAATGATATTTTTAATAATATTTAATTATATGTTCTTATTATGAACATGATATCTTATTTCAGATTAAAATGCACCTTCTAGAATTGTGCAAGCGTTTGGCAGCGGCTGAAGAAAAGCGTGACACTTTAAAATACGAAATCAACAATCGTATAGACCCTCAAGAAGAACGGGAGAAGCTGTTACTTCAAGTAAGTTTGTTTAGAAAATAGTTGCCGTTCACATAATTAATCAATATTAAGTACTACAGGTAATATACAGTACTTTTATACGTATATTCAAACATCAAACTATTGGTCGGTATCAAATAGTTTGATAGTCCATAGCGCGGCCTGCAAAGTTTTCTTCAAAGGGAATAAACCATAGTCGGTAATTTTATTTCAGTATGATGTTTTAGTAAACCGTCTCTTTCCCACGACAAAACAATAAGTGTTTGATATCAATTTTTTCAAGGTTCGAGAAGACAATGCCGCTATTGCATCTCTGGATAGCAATGCAGCAAATCTAAAGCAACAAATTAAGAAAGTACAGGAATTAATTGAACAAGCGGAACAGGTAAACGTTTTTCATAAAATAATTAAAACTTAGCGGCCGTAACCAAGTAAAAGAAATCCGAAACATAATTAATTACAGGATTTGGAAGAAGGTAACTCGGAACGCCATCAAAAATATCGCGAGTTAAAGAAAAGGGAGGAGTCTATGGACGCGTTTCTGACCACTTACGAAGAGAATTTGAAGAGAGAGAAGGATAGGATCGAACAATTGGAAAAGGATATAGTTTTCGCACTAGAACATAGCAGTTCTAACATTGATTTAGACTTGAGCGAAATAGATAATTTGAAACAAAGGGAGGGGTACGCGTCTTCCTATGATGATAGTAAAAAGACTGTTGAAATGCTGAGTAAAGACTACGAGAGATTTCAGGCGAATTTAAAAAAGGTAGGCAATATTTCTTCATATTCCTTAAAGAATTGAAAATGTAATATTTAAGAAACATTTTATACAATTTATAATATTGGTAACAGTAACATACTATAATGATAGAAATATAAAAAGTCACACTATGTAATTTTTTAGATCTTCCAAATTTTCTTTATTTCTTTTTGAACTTTTGATTTTTATCCAGTTTGAAATAATATATTTTTATAATATTCCAAAGGTGGAAGCGACCCGTGAACGCTTAGCAACCGAATTACAAACGCTACCAGAAAAGACAAAGGTCATGAAGGAAGAGTTGCTAGTGTTGTCGGATTTGGAGAAATTAAGAGACGAAGGTATGTATGTATTAGGTTTTATTTAATTAACGTGCAATTATGTATTATGTTAATTCGTTTATAGGCGAAGAACAAAAGAAAGCGCTGGAGATGGAACTGAGACAAGTTAAAGAGAAGTTATTACCAACAGAGAGTGCTGTTCTGGAAGCTTCTAATAAGCTGAGGAAATTGCAGGTTTCTTGTTATATAAACTGCTTTTTTAACGTAGTGAAATCGAAATGGTTATAGTCTACTCACTGAAACGAGTTAATAAAGAAAAATAGACTTTGGCGCGTGATCCAAACTCACAATTAGTTTTTATCGCTAACCATTGAACCACTAATCAATTTCCACTAACCAGTAAAAACACAAAGAGATGAAGTTTTAACATATTTGTTATGATATAACAATTATTGTATGGTTAATATTTTTAGGCGAGTCTTGATGGTAATGAAATGTACACAAAACTAAATAATTTAGAGGAGCGTTTGGCTGATTTGGAAAATAGAAAAACTGTTTTGGAAGAAGACATTGCATCTATTACGTTAAAGGCAGATTATAAACCGCTAAAGCAGGAAGCACTTGGAGAACTAGCGACTTTAAATAAGAAAATTATTAGTGATTTAAATATTAAGGCTTATTAAGGCTTGCCAATTTTAATGATACAATATATAATATAATAGCATATTATATTTTTTCCTTATAATCATCTGCTTATTGTTTTAAGGTATAAAATATATATTTTAATTGAAAACACAAAAATCCAAGATTACAAAAATATATATTAGTGGTGACGTTTTTGTTTCATTTTTGACATTAATGCTACCAGACAGTAATGTTTTCTGTAATATTATTGCAATCGAAATTTATACATGAAATTAAAAATTTATAAACAGAGCCATCTACCGGCGTTCTTAGAACTATTGGATTATTTAACCAACCGTTGTTTTTAGAAAGGCAGTGACATGGAAACTGTATCTATCAATTCTAGTAAATCTTAGTTTTAGCGGTAATCTTAGGAACGCGTTTGTTGAAGTATGTATTTGCGTTAAAAAAATGTCCACAGTTTAAACAAACTATATATTAACTATAAATAATATCACAGACGCTAAAAATTTAACTATACATTTAGTACTAACATAGTAATTCAGGCGTTGGCGGATTTCACTTGTTTATCCAAGAGTAGGGACAACTCTCCAGGTAGGGGTTTGTTGTTGGCCTTGAAGAGAGAACAGAAGTTGCGTACAAACTTCTGCGAGGGAATAACTTCGGCGTCTTGCATCCGGTTCCATAGAGCGAGTGCGTTCTTGTAATCATCGTCTCGTTCTGAAAATCAAGAACATAGTATTATGATTCATATAATTATATTTCTTTAATAAAATGTATAAAGACGTGCTGATGTAATGGGGTTTGGGGATGTGTTATGATCAGAGAGGACCTTAGATCATCCTAGTCTGCCTAGTCTACATCTTAATGTAAAACCTGGCCTGCACTTCAAAAGGCTGTTGAAATTCTCAATAAACTAAATGAATTATTTATAATCTGAATTTAAAAAATGATATGAAATATTTCCTTATATCCCTTTAAACAATTGTGCATTATTTGAGAAATACTTTTTATTGAAAGTTGGTGTGTACTTCCCTTAAAGTTCTGTACACAACATGGAAATGTCAATTACTAGGCAAAGAACTTTACAAATAAGTAATCAATTTCATTTCGCGTTTTAGACCGTCAAAAGTGTTTTATTTAAATGAGTTCATCAATTTCAGTTTTAAAATCTTGTTAAGTATATAAAAATCATTCTACTGGTAATTTCTTTAGGTCTAATCGCGTCTGTTATAAATTTCTTTATTATTTAAATTGAGAAACAGTTAATATATTTTTCACTTACGATAAACGCCCAGCATTAAGTTGTATATCTCATTAACATCAATATGACGCAGGTCCTTGGAACATTCCGCAATCGCTTCCAGCGCGTCCAGGCGTTTTTCGTCCGCAAAACGTTCGCAGTATCGGAGTAGAGCTTCCGGGTGGTAAGTAAAGGTGGGGTCTAGGAGGAGGCTTCTTAGGGTCTTCTTATAGCCAACATCGGCTAAAGCAGATATGAGGGATAGCTGAAATTATTAAAAAATGTAAAATACCAAAGCAAATGGTAGTGTTTCTTATGATTAACATAAATGATATATTATTGTAACATACGACTCATTCGTATGTTAGCTCTGGCTTTTAAATCACTATTGCCATTAAATACAAGCTTGTCTGACTAGACGTTTTTTTTGTTGTCATACAAAACTTTCAGAAGAAAAATGAGATAGAGAGTACAAACTTTCGCCAATGAAAATCTAAGTGTTTGTTTGGTGATTAATTTGAGAAATTTTCACGCCATAACGGGACATTTCTCTATTTCCCACTTATCACACTAGAAACCCAAGAACTTAATTAAATACATTGGACTATAAAACATCAGCTGAAAAGGAAAAAACAAAGAAATTGGAAATCCGGTAAATTTGTTGTTGAAGTTAAATAATTTATATATCTAACAACATTTTTTGTAATCTAATTTCGTCGAAATACTTCATATGGCAAAAGAACGTTTGGCAGGTCAGCTAGTTATCAATAAGGTTGAAACTCACTTGTACATCACCGGAGCCGTGGACCTTCTTGCACACGTTAAGTATCGTGTTCACCATTTTATTGTATCTTCCATTGACCTTTTCTGTAACGAGGAAGAAGTCTTCAGACTTGCCTTCCCCCATCACTTTTAATATGCTGCATAGTAACTCATGTTTTAAGGGCGTCTTGTTATATTTGTTAGCTAAGCGTTGGAATTCCTTGACCGCTTCTTGGTGATTTTCCCTATAAATACCATTTGAATATTTATTTTCTTTAGGCATATTTGTACAAGTATTTATCAAGGAAGAATTTAGATTGGAAAAAATTGGTGATACGGGCTGAACTCTAGCCCACGTCGTCCGTATTTGTTCAGTCCATTTTTAGTTTTAAAGAGTGAAACGAGTATTTCAATCAAAAATAGATTTTTAATTTTATGAAGTTTTCGTATGCTAATGCAAGATTTAAATTAATAAAAAAATATATTAATACCACTAGTTATCCAGATATGTTCATAAAATAAATATCTCACTGACTCTTGGAATCTTCAACCCAAACCGTTTTTTATACTGTTTGGGATGAAGATGAAGATTAGTTATTTACATCATGAAAGCTTATTTTCATGGATTTAAAATAGACTCTGACAGACGTCAAACTGGATAGTAATTCTAGAAAAATAAAATAGTAAAAATGATAACTCACAGTTTCAAGTGCGCCCTGACCAAAGGCCCTAATAGTGTGTTCGACGGCTTGCAATAGTTCAAAGAGTTGAGTAACTCAAACAATTTCCTTGTCTCCACGTGGGACCCCTGTGCAGCTACCGCGTCTAACAGTCGCCAGCAGTTCATAGAAATACTCTGACCCCCCGTTACTCGTCTAAAGGTGATATAATTTGCGTGATTAGTAGAAAATATGTAGAATTTTACAACAAATAACAGAAAAAGGTAATCGATACTTTTATTTAACATTAATAAGACAAAATGAGTTCGGAAAATAAAATGATTGACAAAATTTCGAACAAACAAAAAGATTTTCCACGATTTTTTTCATTAACTTTTCACTTTTAGGCTTGAGGACAAATATTCCTTGGTGGCTGGTAAATGGTACTGTAATTATTTATTTTGCATTTAAAATAAAAACTCTTAAATAATGTTAGCAAGCAAAGTGACTGTGTGTTGTCATTAGGAGAATGTTAGTATGCGATGCTTGACATTCGTTACTATGAGTATATAACATATATATGAGGCTGCTAGAGCCAGAGTAGCCTAATAACAAACAAAAAATACGATTTTCGATAAAGAGGAAAATAAAAATGTGCGATTAACTTAGACAAAAATCAATTTGTACTAGTCTTTGTGTAAGGGTTATGTTATCATATTTCGGTCACTGTGCTCTTGTAGATTAACATTTTAAGACTGTAAGAAATAAAAATAAGTCTAGTCATAAAATTACTTAGGCTACTCTGACTCTAGCGGCCTCGTATGTATTTATCGTCTTCCGGATTTCTGCGGTACATACCTTTTTTTAGATTGCTCCTGTATTAGCGCAAAGGCTTGACCAATCTTTTTCCTATACACCATCAGTGTCGCGAAGTCAATGACCTTGTATTCATCTAACGTGAAGTTAGGCGCAGTCCTGGTTAGATCGGCTAGCGCTATTTCAGCTAAGTCTAGCTCGCCTAGCTTCACGTGTAGGTCGAAAATGGCCGCTTTCATGCCAGCTGACAGGAATACCTGAATAACATTTTTTTTATTAATAGATTAGGGCAACAAGCATAATGTTCATATTATGATCTATGGTGTATTATCCCAGCCATAAATCTTAAAAACGTGAGCTATAGACTTAGTTTCGCTTGGAATATACGGAAATCCACGGATTGTAATTGAAACGCCATTAAACTTCACGGGCTTTTAATCTGTGGGCGGTGGTTTAGAAACATGTTGGCGTGGTGGGGATCGAACACACAAATGGTTGATTAAAAGCAATACATTGCTTCCATTAGAACAACAAATTCTGTCAAAAATTTGTATTATTTAAAAGTCATATATCGTAATTTAAATCTTAACAAATTAAGTTTCGAGCGTTCGAATTCATCATGCCGTCACAATTATTGGTGACGTATTTGTGATCACATCATATGTTAGGACTTCACTGTTAGTAAAGAATCAGTTACCCCTTCCTTCTGACACTTCTCGACAATTGTTCTGGCTGAAGTCAGATTTCCTTCCTTGCAGTACTGCTGCAGAAGTCTTCGAAGTACACCGCGTGTGTTCATGCCCTTAGCTTCCAATTCATTCAGGTGCGCACGAAGAGAACTTTCGTTCATATGTTTCTGTGTAAATTTAGATGATTTTATATAACTTCCATGTTTTTCATATAGGCCGCTAATGACGTAATAACAAAAAATAAAAATGCGCAATTAATTTACGCGAAAATGAATGAATAAGAATAATGTTAACATTTTTCTGTCAGTGTGTTTTTGTAGATTAACGTTTTTTGGACTAGAAAAATATAAATAACTGAAGTCATAAAATTTCAGTTAGGCTACTCTGCTTTTAGCGGCCTTAAATAAAAAAGGTATTAATTTATGTACAAAGATGAAAATATTTTTGGTGTTTCAACACAAGGGAATCAATTAATTTATTATTAGTGTTTACAATTAAAGTTTCAAATAACATAGCGATACCGGATGTGGCATATGATGTACGAACATCTCTCCATCGTCAACGATCTTTTCGTCCATAATGTTGATTAGAGCGTTCTTCAAGTTGTCCTTATTCTTAAAATCGTCCGGTACTTTCGAAATGCACATATCGCACGCCGCTGTTGAAATTCTTAAGGAGGTTTCTTTTAGGGCCTGAAAATAAATATATATTTAAGGAACAATACATTGTTTTTTTTTAATTAAAGATTTAAAAATCAAAATAAATTAAAAAATTTTCATCGGGCAGATTGAACCACATCGTCACTTTGGTGTTGTCTAATTATACAGTAAAATTAAAGGATGCCATATTTACTTAAAAATCAATGATATCGCGGTGTGACATCTCATTATAACTTTCACAAACTAAAATAACAACATTGACTTATTATCTAACACAGATCTTATAAATATTTCACATCTTTTTACATCATACATAGTGATATGCCGAGTAATATATTTAAACATCCAAAGCAATTACAACCTTAACACTTACGAATTGAGGTTCAAGTCTCGACCTAATCATTGAGTTCTCTAATCTAAATATATTTTTTATAGCGACACATGTATCGAATAAAAAAAACTATTTCAACTCACCAAAGCAATATTAAGTACGTCATTCACGTCTTCCCTAACCCTCTTGCTTTTCATGAAAAAACAGAGGAATCGTCCCACCCAATCCCTGCTCTTGTCAAGGGCCTTTTCCGACATATCTTCTAGTATGTGCACCGTTGATTTCAAATCACCACTTATTAAATATCCCTTATGTAATGGCTTGATTATATGTTCGCAATCTACTTTGCCGTGAAAGAGCTCACCTGGAAAATATTTCAAATTTAAGGCATTTTTTAAATTTCACCTGTTCTGCACTTTGGATACCCGAGACGAAAGACAGGCGAAAATTTGGTTGTACTAGTAGACTAGAAGAATTAACTTTTAGTTAGATTAATTAATGAACTAAATACTGTCTATAGTTTACGCGAGTAGTACACATTTAAATAAAACACTTTAACGGTTTGAAACGCGATATATTAAACTATATTACTTTATTACGTTAAACTTATTTGAAAATGATTTTTAACTTCGGCCCGTCTCCCCGTGACCACGGCTGCTGCAAAGCATTCGAAACGTCGGGCCTACTAAATGAACTACCAGAATTTTACGCCACAAGAATTTTGACGCGAAGTAACGTCCTTAATAAGAGAACTTAACTTTCTCGTTTCTATAATGATGGACTAATAAGTATTTTTCATTGTTCGTATCATTACGAACGCTATACGCTGCACGTAACAATAACTAAATTTAAACTCTGCGTGATTTTTATCAATACTTGTGTATCTAATATTTTAAATTATTTGCAGTATGTATGTTTAGAGTATAAAAATATTGCATGTTTGTATATTTAGTAGATATATATATATCTATATATCTTATATTGTGTTCCTTCTATTTTTCGATCATATTGATTTAAACAGATTATATAAAAATTACCTTACCGTCGATACAGATCATTTGGTTATTAAATATTTTAGAAGATTTATTTATTACCATTACTCATAAAGTAAATTTATTAAAACATAATTACAATTTCACACTATACTGTTACGATACTTATATCTAAGATAAGAAGAATAAAACTTACAAATCTCGCTAGCGGCTCTAACTTGTCCCGTATTCAGTAGAGTCTCCATCATAGGTGTCAACACAGAGCTTACAGTGAGACCGGTTTCTAGAAACTTCTTCATCAAATTCTGCGGCGACGTAAAACTGACGAACGGAAGGACATAGAGGAGTACAGTATCGTAATCTGGTTTCACGTCCATAGACACCATTGTGGTGAGCGTGTTCATTATACCTGTAACGTAAAATACTAAATATACAATAAATAGTTAACATACAACAAATTTATTTTTAAAATGTAGTATTTTAAAGTACTTCATGCATAAGTTTGAGTAAATTATTGTAAAATGTTCAGTTTTTTTTGTACGATAACATCGCGGGGCAGTAATCTCGTTGATCGTTTAAAGGTCTGACGAGCTCGTAGGTGTAATAGTAGCCTGGGTGTTTTGGAGTCTTACAAACGTGTTCCCAAGGCTCCTTCAAAGCGTAGAGGGCCGGTGTGTTTAGTGGTTCTGGTCGACTATACGATTTACCACACTCCCCACGTCACACTTGCCCGACGTGAGCGTGCATTAGGCATTCACATTATCAGTTAAAAAGAAAATGAAAAAAGGTGTAATGGTGGCAATTTATGCCTAATAACCGACTGGTCGTGGTTCCATGCACCACCTGGTCCAATATTTTTATAATCAATTTATAATTTCCACATGATGGACAAGCCGTGAATTATGACATTCTGTCCGTGTCACGAACCACGGCCACAGACTGAAAACCGTAACGCATTAATCGCGTTTCGGTTTCAGTCTGTGGATATCCAAGGGCAAAATAGGTCGATAGCGCATTTTGTTTAGACGTTTTATAGCTGGGGTATAGCCTACCCTCAAGTGCATGCTTGTTTGTTCTCCTCTATCATAAAAAAAGTTCCATCAAAACTCATTTATACGAAAATTATACGGATTATCAATAGCACGTTTAATATAGATCAGATTCACGTGATAAACCCAAACCTAATTATTATGCGCTGTCAAAATGTCGTCGATATTCTTATACATACCTTTTTCGCCATAAGTCTTCGAATTATGCACCAATATTGGCCAGAAAAAGTGCGGTCTCAAAGGCATTCCTAGTAGCTTCATCCTGGTGAACATATCTAGAGCAAGTGGTACTTTGCCCAGCTGCAAGGCGCATTCCGACGCGTTCTGTAGTGCAATTGAGTTTCTACCCGATGACATCAGTTCTTGAGTTACCAGCGCGATTACGCTGGAAGGCTGTAAATATATATCAATACATAATAAAGCATCAAGATATAATATTTCGGGAAGCAGTAACGGTGAATTCCTTGTCCTTTTGTGCGAAATAAGGCGAACAAATATCTGTGGCATAATAATTAATTAGACTTCTGTGCCCTGACTGGAATAAATGACTATTTCGGGATTCGAATCTAGGAACTCTTGTCCTTAACGTATTGAATGAATTACGGAGGCAACTGCGAGGACCATAATTTATTAACCTGTCAAAAATAAAAAGAATAAGTACAAGATACTGTCTATAGTTTACGCGAGTAGTACACATTTAAATAAAACACTTTAGTTAGTCAACACGTCGGGCCAAAGTTCCAAAAATTCGAAATTTTCAAATAAATTTAACTAATATAATGCGTTTTAAACCGTTTTTAAAATTGTTTTATTTATAAGTGTAAGATTAAAAAAATCTTTTACATAAAAATAAATATTAGGCTTAGTCGCTAAGTTTTATTAAGAATACATTTTGTCTTTTAGACGCAACTAGTATATAAATTAAAACTTACCAGCGATGCCTTTACGCAGTCTCTAACCAGACTTCTTCCATGCAATCCTTGGTCGTCCTTAGGCCCAAAAGATGGTAGCGATAGACATTTATATATCTCTAACGCCACTAATGGATGATTTTGGAAGACGAGGAGCGTAGCGACACTTTGCATATAAGGGGATATAGAGGGCGTCTTCAGAATTTCTTCGGGTAGAAAATGTAACACCTTATAATGAAACCAATATGATAATTAGGTTAAAATTTCGTACACACACAACCGAATAATTGTATTTCTTCTTAAAAGATAACAAATAAGCCTTTTCATTTTTTTTCTCTTGCCTGGAAGAGATCGCTGTACGTGTATTTTTTGTTTTGTTTTATAGTATGTGTTATATACAGTAAAGCTGGGAAGGGTATGAATTTTTAATTTTTTTGTACCTTGATTGCTTTTATTAAAAATCGGGGAAATGTTTGCAATTTGCTTAAACTGATATAATTACAGCGTTACATAAGAAAGTACTTGACAAACTTTAATTTCAAATAAACAAAACAAAATATTAAATTTTAGTATATCGTGTGCTAACACTTGTCTATCGTAATTAAAAATCTATTATAATAGACCAATGTTTTGACCCTTGTAAAGGTTAGAAGAATAGAAAAATTGTAAAAAGATTTATATTTAACTGGTATGAAGCGGCGGTGGTTGGAATCTATGTTCTTACAAGAATTATCTGATTTTGAAAAGATAACTTAACACGTTTATATTAATAACACCGTTAAAAACTAATTATATGAAAAGATGTATATATATATTCCATTAGTAATAATAAGGGGGACGGCGCGTACGCAGTCCCCACTATCAAAAATTACGCGTCCGAGTTATCCACATTAGGGATAATCGCAGAGGTCAACCCAACCGCAGTGCAATGGAGAGGTCTCGCTCTGGGGGAACCGCCTTCATGATCACGGTATCCCCTACGCCAGGTAAGTATGCTTACATTTCGTTTCCGAGAGAATATATGAAAAGGTAAGAATACCTTATTAGCGAGATGTACGATTTGCAACCTAAGTTACAGCGACATCTAGCGAACGCATTGACAAACTATCGCAACTATGTAGTGTTGTTCTTTAAAACATTATGAATACAAGGACTATTTTATGTTATATTTATTATACTCCATTCGTAATAACACAATGATAGATAAATAGAGTTTATGACACATGAAATAATAATTTTGCAAACCAAAACAGATAGACCGAATTAACGCTAAATAAACTCCAAAATGTTTAAGTATACTCTAATATTTAAAAACACTACCTACTTTTGGTACAGGTTCATAGTTCACAACAGCTGCTAGTGTCTTAATAATTTCCATTATGTGCTGTTCTTCAAAAATTATGCCACCATTTTGTGCCTTTGTTAACTCTTCTACAAGCAGTGTATTTTTCTTATTCCAAGCTAAAGCTCTCGCTGTTGCTACATATGTATCAACTGATTTTGTTATTTTCAAGGAATTCATCATAGTCAGTACCTCTGTAATGCCATTTAGTTTTCTGGAACCATATTTATATAAAATAAACATAGTATGAAGGGTATCATCTCTTATCATTTTTCTATACCAGTTTGATATAAGAACTAATGTTTAGTTTGACGTGACTAAAACAATTTTTATTGGAGATCTTGTAAGTACATTAAAAAAGTTTCATAAAATAAGACTTGAAATATAATATATTCAAAAATGTAACTGGAAATTTACCTACCCTGCTTTACCATGGCATACTATGAGTGAATTAAAAACATCCCTACTAGCTGGTATACCTAAGGCCTTCATATTTGAAATGACTTCTGTTGCCCGGTTAATGTCGCCACCCTGTAAATGATAACTAATTTAAATTATTAAATTGAGTACTGAAAAATATCTAAATAGGAAAATTACTACTGAGATCACAAGATATTTGTAGAAAGTACAACATATAAAACCAATGTATATGTAAGTTTTGATACCCATAGTACAAACCTCACTCAGAGCTTTCAACATTAGTGCATATGTTGCATCATTTGGCTTCACAGGTGCCATCTGATCTACAAAGCCACTAGGTACTATAGTCCGCTTGTTTGCTATATATACTGTCAATAATTCATTGTAATGACCAACATCTATTTTGGAATGTCCCCTAAAGCATAAACATGATTAATATAAGATCTTAGTAGGTATTATCATTCAAAAAAGTTCAGTTACTTTAAAATGTCTGATTACTTTATGATATCCCACACTTCCTCCACAAGTGTCATCCTTGTTGCTGGAGTTTCATCTGGCAAATACTCTGAACAACAACTTATAAGTAGCAACTGTTGTTTTTTAGTAGAAAAGTTAAGTTCCTTTACTTTATTTATAACTCTTACTAAATCATTTTTGTATACTCTATGCTTTTGATATATGCTAGATGTGAGACCACTAATTAATTTCTCTAAGAGATCTTCTGGTGAAAGTGGGGTTTTATTAATTCTTACATCTTTTGGTAAGCCCCCAGAAAACAATATTTGGTTTTGATTTACAGAACTTTTCTCAGCATTTACCTCCTTGCTGTTACCAGTTCTTATGGACCTAGAATATTTTTCAATAAATTATACATTACATATTCCTAGTTTGAGGTACAAATAACAATGTTATAGGAATAATAACCTATAATACAGTGCATTTTCGCAGCTACATAAAGGCAAGATTTTTCTCCTAAAAACAAATTGAGCACTACTAGATAACTTTAAAATTTTCCTAGTCAACATTTTAAATGTTATTATGACATAAAATATTAAAACAGACAATTTAAAAAAATACAATATTTAAGCTAAGTCAACATCGATTTCAGATTGTCAATAACCAAAATGTCAACTTTCAGATTTAATTACGTCAATTGTCAACTTTGTTGATAGACGCCAAATGATAGATAGCGATTCGGCATAAAACGTTTATAAAAATTATACACTACAATTAATTTAACTTTATATTATTTGTATAATTTGTTTATTTATTTAACTCTAGTTTCAGATAGCATATAAAATGCGTTTTATAGGAAAGCAAAATTCAGAATTTTAAGTGAATTATGTAATTGTTTAAAATGCGTGTACATACGTCATATAGTAGGGAATAGTGAACTTTGAATAAAGAAGCCATGATAAAGTTCTAATAGAAGCTTTTATTCGTCATATGGCAACGTTTTATAATCCAAAAACGCTTTCATTAAAAGATCGGAGGAAGCATTAATGGTCCAATAATAAATTATGTTACAATTTAGCACTGTAAGACTTGAAGTATTAGATGTGAGATACGATATCATATATATATATTTAAATAATTTTACACGGCAAATGTGTCTAATTGCATACAAAATATAATAATGAAAGCCTAAATTAAAGCTTCCTATATTGATGTTTTGATTCTAAATCGTTAAAAATAAAATAAGTGGACATTCACTCTATATCTGTAATTTTCTACCTCTGAAGCAAAAAAGTCTGTGGCAAATAACCTATATCTGTTTTCGCGTCTGTCTGTCTTTTCAAGACTCAAGTCTGTGCAATTATGAACATTCAATCTTGGCATTTCGTGGATGTGGATTTTGGATTGTGATTTGTGAAATTGCGGAATGTTTTGTGTTGTGAGCCTATGAGTGAGTGTTAGTAAAAATTGATTAAAAACGTGTCATGTGGTGAGTTTATGTAGCAGCATTTCATTTTGTGTATTATTCTTTATAGATCGTGTAAAACGTATCCCAATAGTTACTTGACGCTTGACCATCCGGCCGTTATTTGACCGCCAGGCGCCATCGTCTCACTGGTTGATGATCATAGCGGCTCCGCCTTTACTTTCAAATGCCTCATACATTACCTCTGATTTATTATTAATCTATTTGATAGATTTATTTCCGATAAATAGTAGTCAAACTAATAAGTAACCCTAAACATGCTTCTGATTCAAATATTCTTTCTATTTACCGCTTTTAAATTTCGTCCAAGTTAATCGTATTAAAGATCGCTACATTCTCTAAAGTATTATGTAATTTATTTATTTCTATTGGCTCATAGATGTATTTTCTTGCTTGGTTTAAATTTAGGAATAAGATAATGATTACTATACAGTGAGTAGGTTGGCATGGTATGCTCTCAATTGTTAGAGGTCAACATAGCTTGAATTGAGCCTAATTTATCTTATTAGGTTAATTTGAATGTTCCTAAGAGTTGTATTGTAGTGAAATCTATTGAATTTTGGCCCCACTTCCTATAATCATATTTGGTACACTCGGCTGTAACCTCTTACACTGTTGTCATGGAAGCAGATTGATTTTGCAGACAGCATTTAGTGAGGCAATTTTAAGTTTGTCAAGTTACTTGACTTGACCATAGTATCATATAATGGCTTTTTGACAGTACATTTGATTAAACATCTAAATTATTGTTACATTGGGGGTGATAATAAATTTTTAAAAATTACAAAGACGACTAGCTAAGTGGCTTTACTTAACAAATGAGTTTTAAAGTTATCCTTAAAATTGATTATACTTTTACTTGTCTTTGTGTATTACAAATATCTTTTGTTGAATTCTATTTCCTTGGGATCTTTAAAAAAATTCTTACACATTGATGGTAATGTTAATAAATCAAAGAAGCTGTAGTGTTTGTTTTATGTTCTAGTTTAAATTAAACTTTACTTAACATAATGATGCTTAAATTAGATTGGAATTGCTGACGTTTTACAGAATTAAAAATAGATTAAGTAACTGAAGTTTGCATGTTTAATACATAGATTATCAGAAAGAAATCTCTAAAAATACTTAGTATAATATATGTATATCCTATTATTACAGCTCGCAGAATTTCAATGAATAAATGTTTAAATTGTGTAATATATATCAAAGTCAGTGTACCTTTAATAGTAGTTGTTGGATACATTGAGATTTCCTTTACTTTACCATCTCTTCTTTCCTGCACACACCAATATTATATAAGATTTAAAAAAAAGAAATGATATAACTAAACTTACTGAATATTGTGGGCATAATGATTTATAAGAAAAGAAAAATAAGGTTTGACCTACAATCTAGTAACTTTCCCCACTAATCATAAAACGAGAGAATCTACTCGTAAACTTGTCTATTTTCGCTTCCTCGAGTTTGTGTAATTTGCCCACGATTACGCTACGGAAATAGATAAAAATCTGTATACAATCTCATAGTAATTTCATCGCCATTTTTGGTATATAGTCCAAGAGCTAACAGTACTTAATATTTTTTCTCATATTCGTTTTGTCAATCTCGTTGGACCAATAATAGCATACATATGCAGTATGATTTCCATTAGAAACAACATGTTTCTAAAAATAGATAGATTCTAATATTAGATAGGCGGTAGGAAATAGGAATATCGTAATGCTGTCGCGAACCACCGTTGACAGATGATAAAGCAATGTATTAATGTAATTTTTTGAACAATAAGAAAACCTACATACCTATAATACATACCAGTATAACAAGCTTATATTCACCACGTTTTAATCATATGAACATTGCAGTGATTCATACGTCTATCAGATAACAATAATCTTTATTGTTAATTATCTATGTACCAAGGTTGAGATTTGTTGTGATTTTTCTGTCCGTTTCCGCCACTCCCCATTTACTTACCATTGGAATATTTCCCTTCTATAGATTTCGCAGTGTAAGATTTCTTATCTGAAGTAGTATTAGATCGTAGTTGTAACATTTGTATTACCAGCTCTTGGTCTATGATTGTTGTCATGCGCGACTGTGCGTCTGCGGCGGATGGTGACCGATTGATGATTGCTATTCTACTGTGTAATATTTACAATTTAGCGTGTCATATAGTGGCATACTAGGAGTAACATTTTTTGTATTGCGCTCTAACAGTAAACCAGTATTTAGGTACTGTAATATTTGAAGTCGCGCCGATTCAAAGGTTTGATCAATGAGATAATATACTAGCGCGAAATAGAACGAACCTTTACCCTACAGTCTTACGTTAAAATGAAATTTGAGGCGTATCTTTATGAATTTTTAAGGATTGACTATTCGCAAGATGGAGTTAATATCTTGAGCTGTAAAAGAAGAAATCTTGACTGAATTCTATTCGTTCTAGGTTGGGTTCTAGGTAGGTTGGATTAATATAATCAACATTAAAAAAAATTGCGGTTTCGCTGTTCGTCACTTTCAGCTCAATATCTTGTTAGCATTTAGAAGTGGGCGTTCAGGGCGGAAGCTATGCTAGCGTAGGCATTAAACGTAGCTGTTGAATATTCGCATTCAACTATTTCTATGCATATTTGCGGATGTAATAATCATAAATATATTATTAAGAATAAATGAACCTGACGACGTAGAAAACTCGCAAGAAAATGTTATTCTATGAAACTTGTCGTCTAAAAATACACAGCGCTAAAGTCGTTAGTTAGTGTAAGTTATCGAAAACCCCGTACACCGGGTAAGTGACAAAGTTATCAAATAAAGTTTTTCTCGAAAATGGGTACACCTGCTCCATAACCGTGAAATCAAAGATCCTTACTGAAATTGAGTACAAGTTTTTGCAACTAGCATTCCTGTAGTAGATAAAATGCTCTAATCACGAATAGTTTTAACGCTTGCGCAGATTAGCTCCATAAATAACTAATGGTTTACCTCACCTCATATATAAACCGAGTTTTTTGGTAGCCACCTTGAGGTTTCTATTTACACGAAAACCACATTTTTACGTGCAAAACAAGCATACATAAAGGTTGGAATCGATAGAATATTAATAATGTAGGGCTACCTAAACAGTTATCTGTTTTTAGCTATAGTTTAAGATATTATGTTGAAATAAGGATTCCCAGGCCGTAGTGACGAAACATTTACTATCGCCCTTTTTGACATTTGAAAACTTTTCCTGTTTTTGTCATGACAAGTGAGCGAGGTGTTTGTTTGTACCCAAAAAAACTTGCTGGATTTCTTTTTTTGCTTATGTCTATTTTAGAATTTACTTCTTGTTAATTTTTTCACTTCAACAAAATATAGGTAAAATTAGATACTTAAATTACCAAATAAACACGTGTGTCTGTTACTTTTTATAAGGTCAAAAGGTCAAGCAGTTTTGTTTTCGTGTCTAATATTAAAGGCACTTGCTTTGTCGTCCGAGGTCGTTGTTTTTAGCTTTGATAACGATAAAAGTAGTATGCGGTCGTTCTCATTAGCTATGTGCTTACATTTGTTACTTTCTACGTAGTGTCTAATTAAAGGTCTAATATTCAAATGAGAATTGTTATATGCAAAACAAAAAGAGATAGATAGAGAGATGTATACAACTTTATAAGGAACCGATGGCATTCAGATGAAAAGAGATTAATGATATACATACTGTACGGACTTATCGATCTAAAACGACGCGTTTTAGAATTCTGAAATGACACTAGGTATTTATTTGCCAAAGACTTTATCAAAATAATGACACCTATCTAAAATGCTTTTAATATGACTAGAGTAGTAATGTGAGACATACATACAAAATTTATCTTAGTGCGCGTTTAGAGACATATTTTTTTAATCAAACAAACAAATAAAGGTCCAAAGATGGTTTTTACATATTATGTAATCGTAAGAAACCCCTTATTGGTTCGCACTCCGAATGCCTTTATTTCCAGAACTTGGTTGTAAAGAGATTTGTTTTGTATCCATATGATTAAGTTTTTCTATTTGATATATAACAAGTCTATTTATCTATCTGTAGTCCTGTCCAGACCACAG